GATGACCACTCGTACGAACCACATAGAGAAAAAGTTCCTGATGGGCTGAGGAGCCAACATATTTCCCTTCCAGGTCTAATATATTATAGACATTCAATAAACTGGTGAAAAATGACTAAAATTATATAACAATCGTTTATGTCGCTTCTCTAAATAAGCAGTTTTACAGATAGTCAATTAATGATCAAACTTAGAGATAAATTAGACTAATGGGCTTGACACACGGGAGGCGACATCGCCTCACCTCCATTCATTTTCAATGAGACATGCGCAACAAAGCAATAATCGCAGGTCACCCTCCTACTAAGCGAAACTCGAAAAACGTGCGGGTGAAATTTTGCGCTTGTGTACGTGTCGTGCACTGGCAACCCAGCGACGCAATCTCAGAAAGTTGAAATATTTTTAACTTTTCATCGCTGTCGCTCGGACGAGGACCAATGAGGTTTCCTTCACTGACCAATGAGCAGACGGGATGCTCCGTACATCTCCGAGCAAACATGGACTCCGTTTCTCCTTCTGTGACTGTGTTCATCTTAATGTGAGGTCCAAACCGTGTGATAAATTGAAGCATGTCCTGATAGACAGTGAGTAGCCTGATCCTGGTTTCTAATATGGGATGAACCCATTCTCGGTTTTATTTTTTTATAAATAGTAAAATCAGAAGTAAGATTTCACATAACTCTAGCAGCCTCTTGTGCAACATCATATCTACCACTTTTGTAACTCTGAACCACTTAAATAACCTTAATTCCCTCCAACCTGACACAGCCAATCAAAACAACGGAAGATTCAATTTCGCCATGGAACAGAACGCGTCGACGGCTTTGCCGCAGGTCACCTCCCGTGTGTCAAGCCCATAACCCTAACCCTTTTACAGCTATTAGTATGATTCAATGTGTGTGTGTGTGTGTGTGTGTGTGTGTGTGTGTGTGTGTGTGTGTGTGTACATGCACGCGTCCTAATCAGAAGCCTCTGGCTGGTTTTCACCAGGAGGCGTAAGCATTTCCTGTGGGAATCACAGTTTGTGAGGATGATGTCTTGTAGCTCTTGGGGCAGCATCAAAGATAAAATAAAAACCCACCCCCCACAATGAGTTATAGGATAAAAGAACAGGGCAGTGTGTGAGGTGATAAAGTGCCAAATTATTGACTGCACGTGTCCACAGCACAATTAGACACTCATTTATATAGTTTATCAGCCAAAAAAAAAAAAGATGATTTGGGGGTGACTTGCTCTTTAACATGTGCTTCTAGATGGAACATCTTATTAAATTACTTGTTGAAAATGATAAATGACTGGCACTTGTAAAGCATCTTTCAGAGTCAGAGGACTCGAAAGCGCTTCACACTACAGGAAACAAGTAGACATCAGTAACACTTACAGACCTGTTTAAATGTGCACAATCAGTGATCACAGGTAGAAAAATGTTACATTTATTTATGAAAATAAGATTTAACATACACTACCTTAACTGAGCTCCATAAAAAGAGACTAAGGGGAGCTGAGGAGAAGATGTACGCAGAGTTTAACATCAAGTTCACATTCATCTAGGAATTTGTGAAACAGTGTTTAAGTTTAATCAAACCATAACTAGAAGTGAAAATAGAAATGTTTGTACAAACTGACACAATAAGTCTGAAAGGAAGTGAGCTGGCGATAGCCTCTCCTTCAGCTAAACCTCACTCATGACACATCAGCAGACAATCAATCAATCAGATTTATTTACCGTATTTTCTGGACTATAAGCCACTACTTTTTCCCACGCTTTGAACCATGCGGCTTATAATGAGGTGCAGCTTTAGTCAACCAGAAAAGATAGATGCTAGAAAGTCTAATGAAGGAATGGTTAAAGGAGTGCTACGGAAAGTGCCCAGGAGGATTTTTTTCACAGTAAAACGGCGCTGCTTGTTTTCCCAGCTTCACCCCGGGATGATGACAGCAACACGGAGAGCAACACCGACATCGCCACAGAAAAGGTATGTGAGGAAGCTCTTCTGAGGCTGTTCAACTCCGACACTGAAGAAGATGACTTCAGTGGTTTCAGTGCGCAGGAGGACGATGAATAAACAAATCAATAACTTTTCAGTTTTGTTTGATAATGATCAGTTCAGTTACCTTCAGTTAACTACGTTTTCAATTCAGTAGATATCTGTGGCTTTTAGACCGGTGCGGCTTATATTGAGGTGTGCTCTATAGTCCAGAAATCACGGTATACAGCACTTTCTACCACCTTAGCGGAGGCCCAAGGTGCTGAACAGCACAGAAAACAAGGACAAAAACATCATAGTAAAAGAGAATAAAAATAGTAAACAATAATAATAAAAGCAATTAAAAGCCCTGCAGTACAAAAAATAAAACACAAAAGCCTCTAACAGATAAAAGTGAGATTTCAGGCAAGACTTAAACTCCTGAAGAGAAAGAGCTTGCTTCACTGCCAGAGAGCCATTACCGAGGAGGCCCAGTCCCCCCTAGATCTCAGTTTAGAGCGGGGGACTTCCAGCAACTCCTAAGCAGCAGCGCAGGGCCCTAGAGGGGCCACGCCGCTCTAACAGTGCAGCCAGATATGGGGGAGCACTGCCCTGCAGCACCCTTTTACAGCTATGGGTATGCTTGATAATACACTGGGAGCCAGTGCAGAGAATCTAACACTGTAACACTGGAGTGATGTGGTCCCACCATCAAGTCCCAGTCCAAAACGTGGCAGCAGGTTTTGGACTAGCTGGAGCCATGCAGTTGGAGCCTGACTCAGTCCAGCATACAACCCATTACAGTAGTCCAGACGGGACATGATAAAAGCATGTACTAATGTTTCCAAAGGTGCTCTTGACAAGAGAGGCTTTATCTTAGATAGCCGTCTCAGATAAAAAAAAAACGTGCCTGGACAACTATGTTTATTTGTGCATCAAATTTAAGGGCCGCATCAATCATCAATCCTAAATTAGTGACCATATTCTTCTCATATTGTGCCAAGAAAGTGACATCAATCTCACCACCGGCTCCAGTTTTTTCACCAGGGCTGAGTATTATGACCTCAGTTTTGGACTCATTTAGGAAGAGGAAATTAGCGGCCATCCATAACCTAACTTCCCTTAAGCAGTCCAATAATGCAGACACAGAGCCTCCTGCCCCCTGAGAAAGGGGCAAATAAATCTGGCAGTTGTTTGCATAAAAATGGACACCATGTCACTGAAGGATAAACCCCAGGGGCAAGAGGTACAGTGTAAACAGAAGGGGGCCAAGGATAGAACCCTGAGGGACCCCCCCATCTGACACTTTCCCAGGCTGAAGAAGCTTCACCCATCCACACACAACCTCCTGTAATCAAGATGGGATCTCAGCCATTGAAGAGCCACCCTTGTAACCCCCACCCAGTTCTACAAACAATCCAACAGACTGTTGTGGTCCACCGTATCGACGGCAGCATTCAAGTCCAGTAGCAAAAGGACAAAAGCATCACCCTTATCACCAGCTAGAAATACATCTAGAGCCATTAACAGAGCAGTCTCTGTGTTGTCTCTGAAACCTGACTGGAATGTCTCCAAACGAGATAGATTTTCATGTAGATCTTTAGGCACCTTAATAATCAACTGTTTTATATTTATATTTTATATTTGGTTTCATTGTATTGTCATTTATTTTCTATATGTCAATGTTGTGATTTTTGGCTAAAACAATTTGAGCACCATTGATTTGTAGGAAAGGTACCAATTAAAAAACTGCTTACAAAAATGCTCTGAATCTGTATTTCTATTTAAATTTGTTAGTAATTATAAACTCTAGGATGTTTCTGTTAAATTGTTTCAATTCTATCATTTGATAATTTAAAATTAAAGTATTGGATATGAAACCATGATAAAATAATAAAACACCAAAAAAACAAAATAAAAATGGAGGACATTTTGGTCTTCTGCAATGTAGATGATGGGTTCCATCTAGGTGACATGTTTGCCTAATTTATCTATACACCTGCATGTCAATCCGGTCCAGGTGTGCCAGCCTCGAGCGTTACGAGATGAAAATGAAGCTGATCTAGGCATAAGCAAATTTCCTGCTCAGATGTTGCAAATAGACTGACCGATATGTAAAGGCGCACTCTCTCACTTTCCTGGCGTTGTTTAAACCAGCCGGTCTTTCTATTTGACTTTTAGGGAAATAAGCAAAATAGGTTTGAAAACAGGCAAATGAGGTCTGACTAATCACTGCTGGAGCTTTCACAGGTGTCCGCTAGTGGTTGACAGCAGGGGAAGATGCACAACCACACAGTACTATCAGGAGGATTCGGGTCATGTATTGCAACAAACTTTACCGCGAGTACCACCAGAATCATTTCTAGATGAAAGTTGTAGTGGTGCAGTGGCTCGTGCATCCAAGGAAATTAATTTCTTTTTTAATTCTTGATAAACCTTCCAGCCACTAATTGGGAAGCTGCACCTGCTGTGGCACCCCCAACCATCCACCACATCACCAAGTGGTGATCAGCTGACAGCTCTTTAGATGAGTATAGGACCACAGACCTGATGACACAATCACAAAATCAATCTTTGACCTCAAGGTGAGCTGGTACCAGCATCGTGTGTTCCTCCAAAACTCATCCTCACATAGACACTCAAGTCCCCCTAGACACATAACACCTCTTCAAGGACTGCATCCAGAGATCCAGAGAAGAGATCTGGACTCCTGTTTTGGTGCAAAAACACAGACAGCATCCAGAACCTTCTCTACTCCAGCTGCAGCTGGAGTTCTCTTGAGAAACTAAACAAAACTTTCTTCAGCTCTTTCATCACTTAAGCATGAACCCAATCAGGTATTTGTGTGTAACTGTGTTACACGTTCATGCGTGTTGATGCAAAGCACGCTGAATGTGAAGTACGCAAATATGCAACATAAGCATGTTTGCATACTGCTCTAACAACTTCCAGCTTCGTCAGAGTAATGTCTTCTCTTCAAGCAGCACCTGCATGAGACTCGTCCAGTCTTTTTCACCACATCGCACCACTGACCTCTAAAATGTCTGAGTTGGTTCTGCTCTCGTGGGGCTCGTTGTACTCTGTGTATTTCAGCAGGACTTTGTCCATGTCTGTGCTGGCGTACTGAAACAGCTTGTTGGAGCTGTTGAAGATGATGAGGGCGATCTCACAGTCACACAGAACACTCAGCTCATAAGCCTTCTTCATCAGGCCAAACTTCCTCTTCATGAACGTCACCTGGAGAAGACAAACACAGCAAACAAATCAGTTAAGCTTTCACCAAGCTGAGACAGGGCAGGAAAAGTCGGCTGATGGTGACAGATACAGATGAAAACATGCTAAATACATGTAAAGCGGAAATGGGATCTAGCTAAACAAAACTCTCCCTAAGGCAAACAAATGGGCACTTGCCAGAAAACAGAGCAGGAGTCTCAGTCAGCGGAAAATGCAAATAGAAAAAGTCATGAGGGCATTTACTGTAACAGAGGATTAACGCCAGCGACATTTAAACAGGACGGGCTAGCCTCTGATACCAGGGAACATGTCAGTGTTCTGTGTTGAGCATCAGATGAATCTTGCTTTAAAGCTTTCCTGTCTCTGATGTGCTGCAGCACAACTAACCCAACACCTCAGTGATCTTCTGCACCATTAGTATTTAGTTTGAAGTGGCCCAGTTACAGCTCAAGCAACCCACATATGGACACAGCTCACCTCCTTCACCGACTTATCTGCTTTTTCCTCACACCACTTGTTTTTTTTTTCTTTCTCCCGTGTCCTGTCTGGCTGTGAAGCAAACAGAATTGATGTCTGAATGCTGGTGACAAGGCTTACAGATTTACTCTCCGGTGGAGCATCAAAGCGTCTGCTTTTAATGTCACGCCTGATACTTAAAACTTTATTGTTATTGGTTTTGAATGATTTGTAATTCCGACCAGACACGGAGACAGAGGTGAAAGAGAAAGGAAGAGAAAAAAGGTGGTGGTGGTGGTGGTGGGGGGGGGGGGGGGGGGGGTTTCCACAAAAATAAACAATAATGAACAAGAGTCTGTTTCTAGACCTGCAGAAAGAGAAAGAAGAGAAAAAAGGGACACACAACAATACAACCAGAGCAAGCTATCGCTGCGTCAACTTGAAGAAATATACAATCAGCATTGTTTAACTAAACAATCACATGATAATAAATCATAGTGCATTTAAAGGCAATGACAGCCTTAAGACAAGTGTTGAACGTGCCCAAGCCCATACTTGTGAGAGCATCATGTGAGCACCTGTGAGTGTACACGCACTTGTTTATGTAAGGTTTCTCTATAAAAGCGTCTAATAGAAAGTGTGAGGGACCACAGATCTGCCCCCTAAAGATGTGTAGGAGATGGGGGGGAGCTCCAAGTCCCAGAGATCCAGGAACTGCCCCAGAACACAGGAACCCCAAGGAGACTGCAACCAGAAAGCCCCCCGCCCTCCTCGAGAGGCACAGAGGATCACCCCGGGGGGTCACAACCAGCAGCCGGCAGAGTCCCGGGAGATCTCAGCAGCAAGCCCACAGGCCCGCCCACAGCTTCCCACCCCCTAGCTGGCCGAGCCCGGAACCCAGCGACCCGGGACCCAGGGGCGACAGCCCCCCGCCGGGGACCCAGCAAAGCCCAGGGACCCAGACCCCACCAGACAGCCACCGGGATTGATCAGGCAGACGCCAAAAATCTTAAACCCCTGACCCAGGAGCCACAAACACTCAGGCAGACCAAGGCACCGCACTCCACACCAGGTATGGCAGGGGGAGGGGAGACGAATATCTATATCATCAAAAGAAGTCCCAGGAGAGGGGAGGAGTCAAAGGCCCCACCTGACATATACAGTCATACAGAGGCGCAGATAGGATTTTCAAACTGGGGGGACAAGGTTCCAATTTACCCTCCCCCAAACACACACACACACACACACACACACACACGCGCACACACACACATGCACACGCATGTACACATACACAAACTATTGCAAGTGCCTTAACTAGAGCTCAGTCAGATTGTGTAATTTCATCCAATGGTTTACGTAAAAACTCACTTTTATATACGTGTTTGAAGCCATTTTGCAGTGGAACGCTGGCAACAAAACTCTGCCTAATCAACACCATCCAAGTCAGTCATGTGTTATTCTCCAAATCAATTACTAACCAAAACCTCATGCTTTATGCAAACATTAAATGATTTTCAGCACACTGATATTTACAGAAAACATAAAACCCTAAAAAACTGCACATAAAATATATTAAAAAAATTAAATTCACATCACAGAGCAGTGATTCCCAAACTTTTCAGCCTCTTCAACAGATGTTCCTTCGTATTTTTTACGTCATTTAGAAATTTTCATTATATTTGGAAAGTTTTAATTTATATATAAATATATAAATCTCTTTTTAAATTTGATATTTTACTTTTTTTATGATTATGTGACACACTTGACTTCCATACATAACGCATCGGCATCTGCCTCTTTTTTACGGCTTTTTTTTTTTTACATTGTCACTATTTCTGTCACGTTAGCGGTGTTTTACCATCATTTCTACATCCATCACGTCCCAGACAAGGTTAAACAAACATCAAACCCAACGTTTGGAGCTTGTAAACTTCACACACCTCTCGTGCAGCACCAGCTGTCTGATGCTGCAGCAGCGTCAATCGTCCCGGCTGGATGAGTGAATTTCTTCATCAGAGTCAATATTCTGCTTCATAATCAGAGTCAGTCATTACCAGACAAAGTGATCAGTCAACAAAGACCAGACCTGCCGGCAATTATACATTTTATCTAATATCTGCGCTCTTCATGTTGCGCTCATCTCCTCCTCTCTCCGACTGGGAGCCTCTCGGCGGGAGGCATTTTTCAAGCTCTAAAAACTCCCAAACTTTGCTCAGCCTGAAGGTTACACATCTCCACTATCTTCTGGTGTAAAGTAGTAACTTCATGAGGGATCATATTTGTAGATGAGACTTGTTAAAGTCAGCAATGAGGCTTTGGCACTTATAACGAGTATGTCCCAACACTGACAACAACGTACTGAAACTAGAACCAACATGCATAAACAGACAGATCGGTCACGCCTACTTACACTTTTGGTCTTTTTTAAATACGCAGTAATCGTTGCCTGTCTTTTTTACTTCATCCTGCAAACTAGCAGCAACCACTTTGGCGCCTCTGGAGTCGGTGTTTGTTTATGTCATGCTGCATTCAATGTAATTGGAAAAAGGAGCTTCAAGCGCTTAACCTCCAATTTTGTTTTCTTTCTGGCCTTAGTGGGGGGGACGTATCGGGGTCGATCTGAATCTGGGGGGGACAGATCCCCCCCGTCCCCCACCCTATCTGCGTGCCTGCAGTCATACACAAACAAAGTCACACACTCCCTCCCTCATGCTCACACATGCACATACAAGCCAAGACTTACAAAAATGCATGCCGGACACCCACTCATGCTCCCCATACACACCCTGTTCACTCTGGTCCCGGTACTGCTGCACATGGGGTACAACCATCGCCGGTTACCAGAGTTTGACCCTTTCTGCTGGGGTGCTGGTTAGCAGGCTCCCCCGCCCAACTCTGAGCACAGCAACCCACCACCCCAGACCCCAACCAGACGGCCAGATCTCCCTCCTAGCCTCCAGCCCCAGGAAGCCAAGCAACAACAGAGATGTGCCAAGACCCCTAGTCTCCCTCCGCCTGCTCCAATTAGGTGTTAGTGTGTGTTGATAAGGTGTATTCCATGGCTGTGGTGAGCGGGCAGTGCGGGAATCATCTGGCCTATGCCAGCTGATGCCACCACACCACCCCACTTGCACCCACAGCCCTCAGTGTCTAAGTGCAGTTTAAAATTGGAAGTGGGCACCGGCACTCGGGAGGAGGCTGAGAAATCCCCCTGCCAAATGCCGTTGAATGTGCTCACTCCCAAGGCCCTAAGTGTGTGTTTGTGTCGATCCTCACACCACTTTTACATCTTGTTCGATGTTTTTGTCAAATCTAATTTATAATGGCACTGTCTGTTTTCAGAAAGAAATTAAAAGACAGTTCAGCTGACTCAGTGTTTGTCTTTTGAGATTTTAAAATAAACAGAAATCATAACAAGGAGAGCAATTTAAAGAATGTTACAATGTAAAAACAAAAAGTCTGATATTTCACTTGCTTTCATCCAGGAGTGAAAGTGTCCCAATTCTCAAGTGCGGACCTTGATGATGTGATGTTTATTTGGCATGGACACAGCAATTACATTGGACGAACCAGATGCATTGTTTAGTGTGTTAGCACACGTGCTAATTTGCAACACTTGTCCATAGAACCTTTCTAAAAAGTAGAGTACATTTAAATAAAATACAAAGAGATCAACAATAAATCAAACAGAAAACAGATTAAAATTGCAAACAATTTTCAATAAAAAGAATAAAACAAGGTAATTTGAGCAGCAATGTAAGATTTTTTAAACTATTCATGTAGAAATTGTGGTTTAGACTTTAACCATTTTTTGAGTTATTTCTTAAAAACTTTACTGTCCGTTTCTAGTTTTAGGTCAGCAGGTAGAGAGTTCCAAAGTTTGGCCCCCTTTACAGAAAGAGCAGACTGACCAAAAGAAGTCTTGCACCACGGGACGAGACAATCACCACTGATGGAGGCTGGAGTGATCGCTCTATGAGAGCTCTGACGTCTGATGGCCACAATAGAGAACAGTTTAGACAAGTTATCATTTAGGCAATTGAAAAAGAATCAGAGTGCTAAAATTAATAAAAATTTTCAAAAGTGAGAAGATTATGTTTCCTTAAAATATGACAATGATGCCATTTCAATGGTTTCTGGTCCATAATTTTTATTGCTTGCTTGCATATTAAGACTATAGGTTTTAGAGTGGTGGATGAAGCCTGTGACCATGATGTAATGCAATATGATAAGTGGGGAAAGATCAGTGCATGCATGTACAGTTTAGCAGTTTGGTGTGACAGGTTCCTTCTGATAAAACGGAAGCAGTTTAAATTTGTATTAACCTTATTACAGACGTGCTTAACCTTGCTGTCAAATTTTAAGTGTTTGTCTAGGATGATCCCAAGGTACTTCACATCACTCCTTACTTCAATGACTTCCTCTTTAATCCTAACCTGAAATAGTTCCTGATCAGGCCTGTTTCTCATGGAGAAGCATATGGACACAGTTTTTTTAACATTAAGAGTTAGGTGGGATGACTCTAGCCATTCTGAGATGTCTGA